CAGTGTTGTTGAGATGTTTTGTTACATATGGATAGCAATGTTCCAAGCAAACAGAGTCTAGAAGTATTGTTTCATATGCATTTCAGAGTTATTATCAAGCAGTGTCTATAAGTGTTGCTTTACAAATATACTGTTCGCAGCAGAAAGCTCCTAGATGTCTGATATTATATGTATTATAAGCTCCATGAAAGCGGTGTTGTCCAGATGTTATGTTTCATATGTACTGCAGTGTTCCCAGCAAGAATTATAGTCTACAAATCGTGTTTCACATAACTGCTTCATGTGTTAATAACCCAAGAAGTTGGCAATAAGTAATTTTTTTCTTTATGTATATATATATATATATATATATAACTTCCAACAGAAAAGTTTCACTGACAGCTCATCTGTGACTTGTCTACTTTAGCGACACCAGATGTAACCCTCGTGTCTCTTCCAACAGCTTCCGAAGTTATTAAAGAGCATCTACTCTCATAACTCTTTCAGCCATACAGTAAATAACTCACGATAAGTTGTAATGTACGACTGCCACTGACGAAACAGTTGATGGAATGGAGACTAGAACTTGGGTCCTGGCATCACTGAATCCCCATATCAATACACGAGATTTCTAATATGTATTTTCTCATGAAAGGTAAAAATTGTGTGAAAGGACTATACATATACATATATATATATATATATATATAATTATATATATATATATATATATATATATATATATATATATATATATATATATATATACATATATATATATATATATATATATATATATATATATATATATATATATATATATATATATATTTAATATATAATATATATATATATATATATATATATATATATATATATATATATATATATATATATATATATATATATATATATATATATATATATATATATATATATATATATATATATATATATATGCAATAAGATCACAGAAAACAGGTGATTTTAAAATATTGAAAACAACCACTGTGAAAGAGTAGTGAAATTCCAAACGCTTTCGTGACTATTCACATTGTCAAGGAACTATGAAAGTAATACATCAAAGGAAGGCAATTAAAGGGCTTAGACTACACCTCACAGTCAACCAACCCCCACAACAAAGAAACACATGACGCGCGACAATACCGGACTCGTAAGAAAAGAGGAACACTGCAGTAGGTCCGCTGGTCCAACTAGACAGGTCCTCACGACATCCCACCAACAAAATATTCTACCCAAGAAATAAGGTTTATTATTTGTCCAATGTATTATTAAACTCTAACCAAATTTTATTAATTATAAATGAGTCTAATTTATATAAACCTAAGGAAATATTCATATTATTTTCAAAACTGCTTTTTATGAAACAAGATTCAATTATATTTCTGTCAACCATGGACTTGCTTGATACAACTTTCTCAACTTTTTGAAAATCAATTGGATGGTTAAAATCTCTCACATGAATAAATAGAGCATTGGAATCTTGTCCAGTTCTAATGCTATATTTATGTTGTTTTAATCTAAGTTCGAGATTTTTACCAGTTTGACCGTTATAAACTTTATCGCAAATTTTACAAGGAATCTTATAGACACATCAGTCAGCATTTTGGGGGGAATTTTTAATCAAAAGTTTTTTTTTACTGTATCAACATTTTTAAATACAACTTTAATATAAAAAGTCTTAAGAGAAGGCATATCAGCCAAGTTTTCATGGTAAGGGAGAAACAACATATTTTTAGTTGAATAAGGCTGGTTGTCCCTTTTTGGGTTGTAAAAAGTATTTCTAGCAATTTTAAATGATTTATCAATTACATTTCTCGGGTATTCCAGATCAATGGCTATTTCATAAATTTTGGATATTTATTCATCTATGAACTCTGGACTACAAATACGTAAAGCTCTCAAAAACATTGATGAGAAAACAGACAGTTTAACTCTATCTTGATGAGAAGAATAGTAGTGTACATAGGAACAGTTATTTGTATGTTTTCTGTAAATTTTAAATTTGAATTCATTATTACTCTTAATAATTAAAACATCTAGAAAAGGTAATGAGTTATTTTCCTCAAACTCAACAGTAAAGTTATTTAATTTGCCAAGGAAATAGTGTATATCTACATTTTTGGGCATAAGACATAAAATATCATCAACATATCTGAACCATTTTGCTCTATTAGGGAGGATTGTGTTAAGCAATCTTGTTTCAAAAAATTCCATAGAATATTTTGTTGGTGGGATGTCGTGAGGACCTGTCTAGTTGGACCAGCGGACCTACTGTAGTGTTCCTCCTTTCTTATGAGTCCGGTATTGTTGCGCGTCAGGTGTTTCTTTGTTGTGGGGGTTTACTGTGAGGTGTAGTCTAAGCCCTTTAACTGCCTTCCTTTGATGTATTACTTTCATAGTTCCTTGACAATGTGAATAGTCACGAAAGCGCTTGGAATTTCACTACTCTTTCACAGTGGTTGTTTTGCATATAGATATTTATATATCTATATATCTATATATATATATATATATATATATATATATATATATATATATATATATATATATATATATATATATATATATGACGTGCCGATTAGGCAGAACTTGCTATTTTGGCTTAAATAGCAACTCTCATCTTGCCATATAGGACAAGTGAAAATTTGTGTATGCAGTAATTTCATAGAAATCGTTCTGAACCTAACGAAAAAAGTATATTTCATTGTGTTTGTTTAGTATTAAATTACGTAAAGTATTAAAATATATTTAGTTGGTTAGTCTAAAATAAATTGCGCTTGTTATAATAAGGTTAGGTAAGTTTTCTAAGATTCTTTTGGTGCAAAATTAAAATTTTTTACATTAGCATTAATGAAAAAATATATCTTTAAACGTATTAAAGAATATTTTAGAAAGGACTTAATTTTAAATGAGTTCTTGCTAATTGACCATTTTATATTCGCACGACATATATATATTTATATATATATATATATATAATATATATATATATATATATATATATATATATATATATATATATATATATTAGTCCTTTCTAAAATTTTTCTCTTATACGTTTAGAGGTATATTTTTTTCATTAATGTTAATGTAAAAATTTATAATTTTGCACCAAACGTATCTTAGAAAATTTACCTAACCTTATTCTAACAAGCGCAATTTATTTTAGCCTAATCCTACTAAATATATTTTAAAAACGTTTACAGTAATTTAATACTAAACAAACAATGAAAAATATTTTTTTCGTTAGGTTTAGAATGATTTTGGAGAAATTATTGCATACACAAATTTTCGCTTGTCTTATATGGCAAGAAGAGCGTCGCTATTTAAGCCAAGATCGCAAGTTCTGCCTATTTGGCACGACATATATATATTATATATATATATATATATATATAATATTATATATATATTATTATATATATATATATATATATATATATTATTATATATTATACTTAATTCGTAAACAGGCGAAATTATTTACAAACATTGTCTCTACGTCCACAGCAGGACTCGAACCTGCTAACTCTGTATCAGAGTTCACAGTACTTTACCACGAGACTGGAGCTGCGATAAGTATGGGCGCTTAGCCAAAGCTAAGCGATGTTTCCCATACCCCGAGGCACCAAGCTCGTTTTGAAAGTTATTTCATCGAATCCTGGCACATGCAGTGGACAACGATAGAGATTTGAAATTCGACTACGCGCCCATAATTATCGCAGGTCTAGTCTTGTGGTAAAGTACTGTGAACTCTGATACAGAGTTAGCAGGTTCGAGTCCTGCTGTATACGTAGAGACAATGTAAATAATTTCGCCTGTTTGCGAATTGTTAAGCATTTCAAATCTCTTTCGTTGTCCACTGCATGTGGCAGGATTCGGTGAATTAACTTTCACTGTTGCAGA